TGAAGGACAGCTTTGTCAGTATAGTATTCTTGGTTAACAGTTTTTTCTTTCAATATTTTGAATGTGTCATCCCACTCTCTCCTGGCCTGCAAAGTTTCTGTTGAGAAACACACTGATTGTCTTATGGGGGTTCCCTTGTATGTAACTTGTTTCTTCTCTCTCGCTGCTTTCAAAATTCTTTGTCTTTGACTTTTGGCAATTTAATTATAATGTGTTTTAGTGTAGCCCTTTTCATCCTCAACCTATTTGGGGTCATTGGGCCCTCATGAATCTGGATGCCCATTTATTTATTGTTCCAAGTTTGGGAAGTTTTCAGCCAATATTGCTTTAAATAGACTTTCTATCCCTTTCTCTTTCTCTTCTCCTCCTGGGATTCCCATAATGTATATATTGTTTCTTTTGATGGATGTCCCCAGCTCCCATAGACTTTCTTCACTCTTTTTTTCTTTTTGCTCCTCTGACTAGATAATTTCAAATGATTTATCTTTTAGTTCACCAATTTTTTTTCCTCTGCTTGGTCAAGTCTGCTGTTGAAGCTCTCTTAATCTTCAGTGCAGTCATTATATTCTTACACTTTAGGATTTCTGTTTTGTTTTTTTGATGGTTTCTATTTCTTTGTTGAACTTGTTACTTATTTGTGCACCGTTTTCCTAATTTTGTTTGTCTGTGCATTCTTGTAGTTTACTGAACTTTTTAAAGAGGATTACTCAGAGTTCTTTGTTAGACAGTTAACAGATCTCCATTTTTTTAGGGTAGTTATTGGAGATTTATTTGTTTCTTTTGGTGGTATCATGTTTTTCTGATTCTTCATGATCCTTCATTCCTTGCATTAATATCTATGTATTTAAGTAAGCAGTCTCCTCTTCCAGACTTCACAGGTTTGCTTTGGCAGGGAAAGACCTTCACCAGTCAGCTGGTAGCAGTCGTGGGCAAGTAAGGCTCTCTACCAGGATCTCTGTTTGAGCAAGGCTACTGCATATGCTCTGAGGTTGCAGGGGTTGCTGCTGGCTGGGTTACTTGGTTGGGTGGGTCTGCTGGCTGGACTGTGCATTCAAGTGGGGCCACTGCGGGGGCTCCCTGTTCAGGCGGGGCTTCTGGCTATGTTTTATGGTTGGGTTGGGCCACTAGCTCTGTAATCACCTCTGGTTGGGTGAGGTTGCAGGCTGTGTTCCCTGACAGGATGGTACACTGATTGGATACCATGATTGGGCAGTTGTGGGATGGGCTCTGCAATCGTTCCTGGTCAGGTGGGGTCTCAGGCTGTATTTTCCAACTGGGTGGTGCTGTTGGCTGGGCTCTGTGCCAGGTGCAGTGGCAGGCCGGGATCTGGCTTGGTGGTACCATGGGTTGGGCCCCAAGGCCGTCCAGAGTCACCAACCAGTCTTCCTGGTTGTATGGTGTCAGGGGATATGCTCAACAGTTGGGCAGGCCATCTGGCTTGGCTCTTTGCCCAAGCAGGGCTGTAGGATAGGCTTCCTGGCTATCTGGGTTCTCTGGCCAGGCTTCCTGGATGAGCAGGACTTGAGGCTATGCTTGGCAGTTGGGTTGGGCTGTGAATTTGCTTTCCTGCCTGGGTGGGTTGGGAGTATGGCCCTTTGACTGGAGACCCAAATCACAGAACTGCCAACTGAGCCCTCTGGCCAGATGGGGCCACTGGCTTGGCTCTGCAGATGGGCACTGCTGCTGGCTGGGGTCTTTGCTCAGGTGCCACTGCAATATGGTCTGTTAAGGTTTGAGTGCCGATTGCTGTAAGCTTTGCCCCTCTTCTCCATCTCTTATCTGATTCCCTGAGATCAGAGACCTGAGAGGGCCTACCAGGATGTGTCCTGCAACATTGAATGTCTACCTTGGGCTCTCTTTTCCCACTGGAGAAACCATAGACCTAGTGCTATGTCAGCCTGGAGGAGGGGTGATGTGGTCAGAGTGTAGCCACTCCTCTTACCTTTCTAAGGTGGTCCTTCTCAGTCTCTGTGTTTCAGAGGGGTGCTTCAGCCTCACCTCCTGGTGGGGGTATTTCCACAATGGTGACTTGTCTATGGATAGTTGCTAGTTGGTCTTCTTGAGAAAGGGACTGAAGTCTGGAATGACCTATGTTGCCATCTTGATGACCTACTGCAGCTCTGCCCAGTCATCTGGTATGGCATAAGTTAACTTCCGTACACAACCAAACAACTGTGGGTGGTTTCCTCATTCACATCGTAGTAACAGGGAACTTGTACTTCTTCATGAGCAGAGATTGAAAACTATTCACTTACAAAAGTCAAGAATAAGACAGTTTCTTCAAAGTTTCAAGTTGGTGCACAAGGAATATTTCTTGGATTAGGAAGCATGGGTTGGTATCAAAGCCTGCTGATCCTATAGGAAGTGGGATTGCTCAAAAAGGGTATCTCTAGCTGATGTCTTTAGTGTAAGTGAAACTGGAATTATTCTTAAAAGCTTCATAACATGTAGTGTCAAGGTTGTCTGGGGAGGAAAATTATACCCTGGTCTCAGTTGGGCCTTGAAATGATATCAAGCAAGTTCATCATGCAGCCAAAAAAGGATCTGATGCCATGAAAGGAGAGATGAGTGACTTTTAAACGGAGCAGGGGAACTTGAGTAAAATGATACTGGGCTTTGGAACCAAATGGAAAGAAAAAGCCAAATGTTCCCTGTGGTTGCTTAGTTTCCATCAATAGCACAAAACTGTTTGCAACCCTTTGTTAATTGTAAGATGGGAGGCCAGCATTTTCTGATCATTTACTCTCTGACAAGCTCTCTAATGATGCTTTGCTATATGATAAGGAATTTCATTTCCGCAAGTAAGATGTGAGGTGGGTGGTGGATACCCCATTCAGGCATGATACGACGATTTGTTAGTGAGATTCAGTGGCCATGTCTCCAGAATTAAGTCAACAGCTTACTTGGGCACAGAAGTGACTCGTCTTTTGATTATGTTTAAAGAACAGCATTGGAAAGCAATATTTTAGTTGGCAAACTCTATCTGTAAAAGGCCAGATATTAAATATTTTAGCCATTGCAGACCATGTGGCATCTGTTGCAACATCTCAATTCTGCCATTATAGCAGGAAAGCAACCACGGATGATTTGTAAATGAATGGGAGTGGCTGTGTTTCAATAAAACTTTATTTATAAAAAGAGGTGGTGGGCCATCATTTGGTGACCCCTGCATTAGAGGAACAAAACTTTATGGGAGAAGATTGTAAGGTGGATGTGTTTTATCTGTAGGAAACATGCATGCAAGCTTCCCACTTGGTGCATGGTAACTGCTTGATAGTTATTCAACAAGCCAGATCCATGAGCCTATATTTCTGCTGATTGGAGCAAATATAAGTAGGCTTTAATTGCATTATAAAACAAGAGGTTAGGTATTTTAAAAGGTTCTTTTTAAAGCTAAGCTGCTTGTTAGATCTTATCAAAGGAGCTATGGGCCTCAGAAGTCTTTACCAATAAGGGAACTGCACGATGTGGGTTGCGCTCAGTCCTGTTTGAGGACACGGAACTGACTGCATTTTAGGATGCACTTCTAAGACATAAAGTCAGAGAGGTTTGAGAACCAGGAAGGAGCGGTGAGTCACAGTGATTACTTGAATGTAGTGGTGTGGAAGAAAAGGTCAGAACAGCCCCAAAGTTTTGAACTAGGATGATCAAAACAGGAATGCCATAGCTGAGCTCCAGAGCCACAAAAAGATACTGTGATTGGATTCTGCAGGTTATTAAAGACAGTGAACTCAAGTTCTTCATCCCTTGCTCCTTCCTTGCTTCTCATCCTTTTGCTCTAATCTTCCTCTTTTCCTGGCAGTGCTAGATTATGTCTGTGTCACCAGGCAAAATTTCTGGTAGAGTCATTCAACAAAGTCAACAGTATTTACTGGATATCCACTGTGTGCCAAGCATTGTTGGGGCACTGTACCCAAACTGGACTATCACCTTGCTTATCTCTTTGTTTCAGCAATGAGTTCAGAGCTGGTGGATTATAAACAATCTAGAATAGATCCTTCCTCCTGTGTTTTATTTGACGTGCCATGTAGTGTAACTGGTCACATCTAATGCCCAAGCTGAGACTTCTCTTGTGGACCAAACTCCCATGTTTTTCTGTGATTGCTTAAAGAAATCTGAGCAAGCCTTTAGAAAACTTATCTGTGCTATGAGGTTCTAGCATTCAAAACAGATTTCACAAGCTCATCAGGCAAGGAAAACATCAAGGCCAATGGCTATGCCTGCCCCAGTGTCATCTTCGTATAGATAATTTACCATCCAGAGCAGAAATGAACCTGAGCCTTTGGAGTTGGCAATAGTTTAGCCAGTGGTCTTCTGAGAGGATTCTGGAAGATAAGGTTCTGGCATTCCACTCTCTTTTAACGTTAGATGTAAGTCTGTCAGACCATACGTGAATACAGATCCTATTGATTAGGAGTAGCTTGTCTACTACAAGCCAAGAAATTGAATATAGACTCTGGGAGGGAGGACATTTTAAGGCAAGGTTGTAGATGGATGAGTAATTTGAAGAAAGGAAGTTGGATGGATGAGGGTAAGTTCCGAGGTTAGCTCATTAGAAGAGGACAGAGAGGTACAGGAAGGGAGGGAGGGGAGGTAGAAACAGAGTGACCGTGAGGCCATCAGGACAGCAGGAGGTCAGAACGAAGGGCTCTGTTGCACCAATGTCTCTGGCATCTCCTAGTCATGCCAGGCAGAGGAGGGGAGTTGTACTGTGTCCTGTGGTCACTGACTTTACTCTGAAGATGGCATCTGAAAACGGTGCTTAGAGGTGGTCTCAAGAAACACCCCCTCCTCAACAAAGTCCAACGCAAATCTGTTATCTGAAGCAACAAATTCTTATGTAAAGCAAAGCACTTTTTAAATTCTTTTAAATGATGTTAACTCTGGCTGTTTACCTCTGAAGGCTCTGTAGATGAGAATCCCTTAATCAGTGCATGATTACTGATTAGAAACTGCCCCAAACACAATGCTAATAAGCTTGGAAGAAGAACTGGTGTTACCTGAAATTCCTTTCAAGTTAGCTTTGAGTGGGACGAAGAGATCGGTAACTCCCCAGGAATATAAAATGTTTTTCAAGTTGAAATGATTTTGGATCCTAAACCTAAAAAACAAAAACAAACCATCAACTTTCACTTAAAATTCTCACTCAGTGGACTTCCATACACATCACATGACAACCAAACCCCCTCACTTGAAAGTCAGGCTCATTTCCAGCTTCATCTGTCGTTGCTCCTTCCCAGACCCCTGACCCCCTGACTAATCCGACCACACAGCACTCTCTCCCAACTCTGGACCTTTGCTTCTGCTGTTTTTTCCAGGTCTCCCTTGAGACCTTTCCTCTAAGCTCAGATCAGTTGTTACCCCTCCTCTTCCCCAGCTGTTTTGTAACGGTCAGTTCTTAAGGCCCCTTTAAACACTTTGTTTGACTCTTCTGATGTATAGAACATTCTGCTTCCTGTTACTGTTATTTATGATACTGTAAACTATTTGAGAAGAGAGCCTGGTCAGTTTTTAGTTCCTCATAATAATTAATGTTTAATGAGTGCTTACTATGTGCTAGGCACTACAGCAAGTACTTTATGTGCATACTCTCATTTCATCTTCACGTAACTATGTTATTATTATCCTCATTTTACAGATGAGAAAACTGAGGCTTAAAGAATTTAAGAAGCTTGCCCAAGAGGACGTCCTGAGTACGTGGTGGAGCTCAACTCAGATGCGGCTGAGCACAGAACCTGTGCTCTTGGCGTCTACACTTCACTACCTCGCATCCCGGGTGGCTTCTCACACACAGTAGGTGCAGAAAAGAAGTTGTTGACTAACTGCCAATTGATAGAGTGTCTCATTTAATGTGTTTATCTTTGATGCAACATATTTTCATGTTTGCTGTGTGCAGCGTGGGTCTTTGGTTTTCCTAGCAAGTCCCGAGAGCGGGAAGAATCAGCATGCCAACTTCCTCATGTTTCTTCAAGGGCAAGGCATTTAAAACTTTAACGCTGAAGGAGCCTTTAAAACTACGGCTGACATTATTTTTCTTTGAGAATAAAAAAGTTCAAAATGGAATTTAGATGGTCGTTTCTATAAACCATGTGGAACTTGTAGGAGAATAAAAATACTGCACAATATCAAAGTTCTTCACTGCCATACAAGACAATGTAACCAATATTTTAAACAAAGGAATCAGATTTTCTCGTATATGTGAGTTTTGAATCTGTTCAATAGTTTCAAAAAAAGGCACAAGCTTTCTCTAAGTATGATGATATTTCTCAAAAAAATTTTGGATCACCTTTTCTGAAATTTTCTTCCTTAAACTGCATTCTTTTGAGAACTCTCAATGTTGAAACACAGTGGTTAAGAACATGAACTTGGGAATCCAGTGCCGGGGTCTGAAAGCTGGCTCAGCCTCTTACTACCTGAGGGACTCAGGGCAAGTTACTTTGCCTCTCTTTGCCTCAGTTTCCTTGCTTGTGAAACGAGCCTAATACTAGTGCTTAGTTCTTAGCTTTGTGAAGATTAAATAAAACAGTCCTTGTAAAGTCTTCAGAACAATGCCCAGTGCAGCTCATGCACTTTATTGTTACCACTGTGGTTTTATTGTTTTGCAGTGATATTGAGAAAGAGCTAAGGCACATTTGAAGCCAAGTATGGTGGTTATGGTAGGTGATAAAACTGGGTAATATCACTTTTAGTAACTAAAGACAACAGTAAAAGCGAGGTATGACTATGAAAGACGACAGTGATTTGTTTTTTGTATGGCTACGAAGGCCAGTCCAGAAGAAATGCTACAAAAATATCCTGAGTTAAAAAAAAATACCCTTTACCAAAACCAGACAAGGATATCACAAGAAAACGACAGACCAGTGTCCTTTATGAATATAGACGTAAAAATCCTCAACAGAATACTAGCAAGTTGAATCCAGCAACATATAAATCCCCCATGAGCAAGTGAGATTTATCCCAGAAATGCAAGGTGGGTTCAACATATGAAAATCAATCAAGGTAAAACACCATATTAATGAAATAATGGACAAGGGCCACGTGATCATTTCAAGAGATGCAGAAAAAGAATTTGACAAAATCTAGAATTCTTTCATAAAATCAAAAACCACTCAACAAACTTGGGATAGAAGGGAACTTCTTCAGCCTCAAAATGGGCATTTATAAAACTCCCACAGCTAGCATCATCCTTAACGGTGAAAGACTGAATGCTTTCCCCCAGATCAGGAACAAGATAACGATGTTCACCACTTCTATTTAACATTGTACTGAAAGGTGTGCACGGCGCTTATGCAAGAAAAAGAAAGCAAATGCATCCAGAATCAGAAGAAAGAAGTAAAGGTATATCTATTCACAGATGACTTGGTCTTGTATATAGAAAATCCTAAGGAATACACACACACACACACACACACACACACACACACACAGAAAAAACTATTAGAACTAATAGGTGAGTTCATCAAACATACAAGATCAAGATACAAAAATCAACTGTGTTTCTTTATACTAGCAATGAACAATCTGAAAATGAAATCCCATTTAAAATAGCATCAAAAAGGAATAAAATACTTAGAAATAAATTTAATGAAAGAAGTGCAAGACTTGTATACTGAAAACTACAAAACATTGTTGGAAAAAACTAAAGAAAATCTAAATAAAATGAAACACATCTTGTGTTCATGGGTTAAAACTCCTAATGTTGGTATAAAGAAATGATTCCCCAAATTAATCTATAGATTCAACAATCCTTACCAAATTCTATCTGTTTATTTGGCAGAAACTGATAAGCTGATCCTAAAATTCATATGGAAATGCATGGGACCCAGAATAGCCAAAACAATCTTAAAAAAGAAAAACAAAGTTGAAGGACTCACACTTGCTGATTTCTAAACATATTAAAAAGCTATAGTAATCAGTCAAGAGTGTGTGTGGTACTGGCAAAAGTATAGATATTTGTGCCTATGGAATAAAATTGAAAGTCTAGAAATAAACCTATACACTTATGGCCAATTGATTTTGACAAGGGTGCCAAGAAAATTCAATGGGAAGAAAGAATACGCTTTTTGATAAATGGCTCTGAAACAACTGGAAAGCCACATGCAAAGGATGATGTTGGACCTCTACTTCATCCCATACCCAAAATTAATTCAAAATGGATCAAAGACCTAAATATAAGAGTGAAAACTAGAAAACTCTTAGAGAAAACATAGACACAGATCTATGTGACCTTGGTTAAGCAATGGTTTCTTAGGTATGACACCAAAAAAACCCACAAGAAACAACAACAAAAATAGATTAAACTTTATCAAAATAAAAACATTTGTGCTTCAAAGGACACCATTATGAAAGTGAAAAGACAACAACCCACAAAATGGGAGAAAATATTTACAAATCATGTATCCAATAAGGAGCTAGTATCTAGAATATAGAAAGAACTATTGTAACTCAACAATAAAAAGACACATAACCAATTTAAAAATGAACGAAGAATTCAAACAGATATTTCTCCAAAAAAGATATATAAATGGCCAACAAGCACATGAAAACATTGTTGACATTAGTAGTCTTTAGGGAAATATAAATGAAAGTCAGACTGAGAGACCAGTTCACGTGCCATAATGGCTCTAATCAAAAAGACAGGGGATTCCCCCTACAGCTGTTGTCACACACAGTTGTGAGGTCACCCAGGCTGCAGTGACTTGCCCCCAGCCTGAGGAGGAGGCCAAAGCACAGAGGAGGGCATTGCTGAAGGGCAGAGGAGGTGAACGCATCCTGACTAATGTAACTAAGAATAACGACACAGTTCCTGAGTGCAAGCTTTATAACATGCCTACTTTTTAATCCACAATTTGGGAAGGCAGTCTTTGCCCTTTCCCTATCTCCCTTGCCTCCATAAAGAGGGGCCTTTAAAAAAATTATGGTAAAATATACATTATATAAAATTTACCATTTTAACAATGTTAAGTGTATAATTCAGTGGTGTTAAGTACATTCACATTGTTGTCCAATCATCACCAGTATCCACTCCAGAACTTTCTCATCATCGCAAACTAAAACTCTGTACCCATTAAACATGAAGAGGGTCTTAGGGAAAAAAAGGACAATAGCAAGTGTTGACAAGAATATGGAGAAACTGGAACCCTCATACATTGCTAGTGGGAGTGTAAAATGGTGCAGCTACTTAGAAAACTGTCTAGTAGTTCCTCAAACTGTAAAGTGTAGAGCTAACACATGACCCGGTAATTCCATTCCTAGGGTATATACCCAAAATAATTGAAAATATATAGCCACAAAAATGTGCACAAATGTTTGTGGCAGCCAAAAAACAGAAACAAGCCAAAAAGTGTCTTGGCACCTAAATGTCTATACGTGGATGAATGAATAAATAAAATGTAGTATATCCACACAATGAAATATTACTTGGCCATAAAATAGAATGAAGTACTGGGGCTTCCCTGTTGGCGCAGTGGTTGAGAGTCCGCCTGCCGATGCAGGGGACACGGGTTCATGCCCCGGTTCGGGAAGATCCCACGTGCCGCGGAGCAGCTGGGCCCGTGAGCCATGGCCGCTGAGCCTGCGCATCTGGAGCCTGTGCTCCACAACAGGAGAGGCCACAACGGTGAGAGGCCCGCGTGCCACAAAAAAAAAAAAAAAAAAAAGAAATTTCTTAAGGACTTCCCTGGTGGCGCAGTGGTTGAGAATCTGCCTGCCAATGCAGGGGACACGGGTTCAAGCCCTGGTCTGGGAAGATCCCACATGCCGCGGAACAACTAAGCCCGTGCACCACAGCTACTGAGCCTGTGCGTCTGGAGCCTGTGCTCCACAACAAGAGAGGCCGCGACAGTGAGAGGCCTGCGCACCGCAATGAAGAGTGGACCCCACTCGCCGCAACTAGAGCAAGCCCTCGCACAGAAAAGAAGACCCAACGCAGCCCAAAATAAATAAATAAATAAATTTATAAAAAAAAAAATAGAATGAAGTACTGACACAGGCTACAACAAGAATGAACCTTGAAGACATTATGCCAAGTGAAAAAAGCCAGACAGAAAAGGCCATGTATTGCAAAATTTCATTTACATGAAATGTCCAGAAAAGACAAATCCACAGAGAGAGAGAGTAGATTGCCTAGGGCTGGGGCGAGGGGGATGCGAGTGACTGCTAAAGGGTGTGGAGTCTCTTTTTGAGGTGATGACGATGTTCTGGAATTAGATAGTGGTGATGGTTGCGCAACTTTGCAAATATACTAAAAACCTCTGCATTGTACACTTTAATTGTAAATCCGTTTAAAAGAATGGGTTTTATGGTATGTGAATTATCTCTCAATTTAAAAAGGAAGAAAGAAAACACCCTCAGAAAAGCACAAAATGCACATGACGATGATCAGCAGCTCCTTGAAGGAAGGGCAAGCTCATTTGGGATATATGAGATCTGGTGGGTTTAAGAAAATGCACATATCATGTCTAACATAAGAAAAAAATGCTCATTGTTTGGCTTCCCACTTTGTTGACCTAAAAACTAAGTGTTTTACTCATTAAACAAATATATATTTGACATAATTAGTCTTTCTTGTGGGTTTTCTTGATTATTCTTTTGGTATGATAATGTTCCTAATGAAGACTGACAGTCCTTATATATTCCATTTTATTTCTTTATAAATAAAAGTTTACTTTGGAAGGTAGATATCATAATTCATCCAGAATCTACTGATGCACTGCTTGGTGATGTTTAACCAGAAGGCTCACGTCATTGCCATACAATTTTTGCCTGGCTACCCACAGAGTGCCCTAGTTTTTGCTCTTGCTAAGTAAAATATGCAGGCTGACTTTAGAGCAGGTCATACTAAGTGATGAATCAATGATTTGTGGAACTAGAGGAAAATTCTTGCCCAAAAGCTGACTTGCGTCTACCATGGTCCAAAGTTTCGTACCCAAATCTAGACCTAAAATAGTTTTTACTTCCTTCTTTATTCCCTAAAGGGCTTAAAGCTAGTTTTTTAAAACTTGGTTAGTTTTGCTTGTGAAATAGCCCCAATAGGGAAGGGGAGTTTTATTTCCCTAAAATCTTCTATCCTTCTCAGACAGCAGGCAGTCTTAGGGAGATTAATTTTTTTTTTTGTTTAATCTGGATGAGGTCAGGTGTGAAGCAATACTTGGGTTACTATGACCTCTGCCTTCCTGTCCCTTCTCTGTCCTCCAAAGTTTTTTAGGATCATTCCTCAAGGGTTTGCAAGTTCTAAAGGCAGATTCAGCAACAGTGAAGAGTTCGCAATGGAGCTAGGCACCTCCCTGGGGCCTCTTCCTTATACCAGCTGCTCCAGGACAAGGCCAGCCATCTGCCTCATACGCTCAAAAAGACTGTAGCAAATTTCTGCACCTGGCTGTATTTTCTCTCCACTTTTAGCCTTGAACGCTCTTCCTCCTTTGCTGAGCTTCTCTCACACGTAACAGAAAGATCAGGGCTGCTTCTGCTCCATGCCAGAGAGATCTGTTGAAATAGCCAGTCTTTGGACTTTGATTTGGGGTCTAAATATTTCTCTTGGAGAGATAGGCTTTGTCTTAGAGTTTAGTTCACCTTCTGCCCTCGCTATGCCGGATCCCACTTTAGACCTTGGCCCTTCACTCACTGGGTCTCTGTGTGTTTTTGTTCCAGTGCCTGGACTTATTTTTAACTCCTCGAGGGACCACTGCCAAGGCCTCTGGCTCAGCGCTGCTGACAGCCTGGTCCGTGGAGGAGCCCAAGGCGGCCAGTGGGAAGGCACACGAAGAATCCACATGCTTCAAATGAACCCTCGGATACTTTTCTTGCTTGATGCTGGTGTACAAATTAATTACGCATTTACTCTGATTTCAAATGTACCGGAGAAGCTTATCATTTAAAGATGTTCGTTGAGGAATCCTTTGTAAAGTAATGAGGTTTGCAAATAGGTTTTGTTTTGCAGAAGCAAAATCCAGCACCATCATTTAACTTTTTCACCTCTTGGGGTTTTGTATTGGTACCCATTGGGTTTTCTTAAAGAAAGGCTCACCTTTATTTAGAAAGAATAAAACTTTCAGCACAAGGACCTAAAGTCTTGAATTCGTATGCTTTAATTTGCCTTCAGATCAGAATTATATCTGTATTTGCTCAATTGCATAAGCGATCTTGCCTCTTTGGTTTTGAAAATGATGTTTGTATACTCTTAGGATGTGACAAGATTTAGGGCACATTCCTCCAAGGTACCTGTACAGACCCTCGAGTCAGGCCACCTGGGTTCCAGGTCTGGCTGACTGAAGCAGGCTGCAGAGCCCCCCGTCACAACAACGCAGCTGCTCACCTGGGCAGGAGCACGTCCATCCTGGCTCTCTTCAGGCTGGAGGTCCAGATGTGGAGGATGCTGGCTGTGAGGTGAGGCTCAATGTGGCTCAGTGGTGTGTCTCTGTCTCTCGGCAGCAACAGGAGGAGACTGGCCACATTTCCCAGGTATGGCAGCTCGAGCACCCCTACCTGATGGCCCGCGGGGTCCTGGAACTGGCCTGGGGATTCAGCGGATGGGGGGTTAGTTCTGTCCCAGGAGTCCAGGGAACCTAACAGTGCCAGACCCTGGGAAGGGCCAGCTCACAGAAGTGGAAACAATGCATTTTATTAACAAACACGGTGTCCACCTCTGCCTCAGGGAGCAGTTTGAGGCCGAAGACTGTGGGTAGCTGTGGCCATCTTTTCTACTCCTAAGACCTAGAACATCTCTAAGATATTCTCATGGGGCTTGAACGCCAGGGCCGGCAGTGGCTGGGCAGGGTGGGGAGGATGGCACATAGGAGAGCCTGTCTTAAAGGGGCAGCCAGTCCAATCCTGGCTTGTTGTTGCCATGTCAGGACCCAGGCTCTTTGTGCCAGATTTTCCTATCTTTCGACAAAAGCTCTAAACCCAGATGTCACGGGAAATTTCTCAATTTCGAAAGCACTGCACAGGCCTAACGAAACAGAAGTCCGGGCTGGATTTGACCTGATGTAATTTGTACCCTGTAGGTCTCAGGATGGACAGCTGGGAGCTTGTGGGCAATGACACTGGCTGGCTGAGGACAAGTCCAGGCCATTGGGCAGAGCCTGATTTCAGAAGCTTGTGATGGGACGGTGGCAGCAGACCCAGACGGCCAGAGATCAGAAGACCCGGCGAGGGTTGCTGGTGAATGCAGACGCAGTGGCCAGACTCAGTGACAGGGCAAGATGGGCAAGTAACATGCAGCATCCAGCTGGGCTGGGGAGACCTGGCGGTCTGTGGCAGCCCCGGTCTCAGGTGGAGCTCCAGGCCTGATCCCTTCCCTGGGAGGACGGGGAGGTCTGGGCCTTATTGTCGAGGGACAGATGAGTTGGCGGGTCACTAAGGCAAAATCTTAGGATCAGTGGGGAAAGACAGGGGCATGGTTCATACTCCTTATTGTATCTGTTCAATAAATATTTGCTCAGCCTCCATTATGTGCCAGCCACTGTACGCTGGGGAAAGCAAGAGCCTCTCAGAGCCTGCCTGCCAGCCACCGCCCAGCGGACGGATCAAGCCTGGGTCACAGCAGCGACGGGGAAATGTTAGGAGCAAGAACTACAATTGCTGTAAAGGTATATTTTACTTATTCAACAGACGTTCTTTCATTCCCGTCTTACTTGACCTCAATTAATAAGTACTGGTTGAATAAACTAATGAATAAATTCACTGAGAGCTCACAAGGGTCCTGTATGGAATCAAACCAGGATGATAGCAAGTTTTCTAAACACCGAAGTTCCTAAAACACTGATTCAAGTCTCACTGGCTTAATTAGTGAATAACAACATAATTAGTCCCACAAGCCGGAGGGAGCTGAGCCTGCAGACCAGGGTTTGGCGGGGTGCAGGGGAGAGGAGGTGTGTAGGGGGCAGGGCAGTGGGGGATGGGCAGCGGGGTCCCTCCCTCCCTGGCCTCGTTGGGGCCCCACTGGAGCATCCACAGTACTCACTAGTCTGCTGGGATGGGGGGCAGCCTGGCGTACCTCCACTGCGAGGGGGATGAGTGACAGTGGACAGGGTAGGCAGGCAGAGAACCCTGGTATTTCAGGCCAGTGGCACTTTCGGGTGGACATGCTCTCGAGAACCTTCTAGACTGGACTCTCAACCTTCCATCCTTTCTCAGCACTGAACACTGAGGCCGGTGTTCATTTTACGGGAGTGACTGCCAGGGGAAGGGATTTGCCCAGACATTCTTGGTTTCACACTAAGTCCCCCCCTTTACTCAGCGCGGAAGGAAAGGCCAGGCATGAAATCTGGTTTCTCTTCCCCGTGTGCCCCCTCACTATCCTGATAGTCTCCGGCTCCCTGGCCTGTCCTTCCTCCATGGGCCCCGCACAGCCGAGGGTATCGCAGTGATGCTCGGCCCCATCCTTTCAGAGCGAAGCCCTGGCCTCCCCTCCTGCCCTCACGGCTCCCTCCCGGGCTCTCGCGGCTCACCGTAGTTGACCTCGGCCGTTTGGTACATCATGGGGACCTGGAGGACGACGTCCTTGGCACAGGTGAAAGGCAGGAGCTGAGTGTCCGAGAAGGAGAATCGGTGCCGCCAGGCACTCTGGAAGGACACGGTGCTCACCAGCACCAGCTGTGCGGACTCCACGCCGCCGCCGCCTTGCTCCCAGGTGGAGCCCCCGGGACGCTCACCTGCAAGCAGAGAGCGGAGCGCCGCTGTGACGCTGACGCTTGCGTGCACACCCTCCCGGGTGCTGAGGCATCCCCGAAATTGGGTTCGTAGCTTGCTTTTTAGTACTTAGTTGTGGAACTGTAGTGTTTGTAACGAGCTGTGGTTGGAGACCATGCTTTAATTTTTTTCCGAACAGCTTGGGATGCCCTGGCTTGTTCCAGCTGTGTTCCGGCTGGGACCGTTTCCCAGGAAGCGCGAGGCCTGCGCAGCTCAGACAGCCCCCTGGGAGGGACTGGGCGCTGTGACGGGAGACGCTGCACAGTGTCACCTCTACCCCCCACCCCCATGGCCCCAAATGCTGCTGGGCCTCATGCCTGGCAGAGCCTTTGTTTACACAACAACGTCCAGGGCATGGGCTTGAAATTCTGGAGCGGGCTGGCCACTCGTCAAGCGGCCACGTTGCTCCAGCTCATTATTCATTTACTAAACACACACTTTGCGCTAGGCTCTGTTTTCAGTGCTTAGCAAACGCTCCCCAACTCCCCCTGCCAGCTCTATTGTTATTCCCAGTTTTAAAGATGGGGCACCACGACTCAGATAGGCTGTCCAAGGTCTCATACTTGTGAGCTACAAAGTCACCATCCGCCCAGTTACCCAAGACAGAGACCTTGGATTTGAACCCAAGCAGCCTGGCCCCGGTCTCGGGGCACCAACTACCCGTCTTTCTTGGAGGACCATCCATTCCCCGGCGCCGCACCGACCCCTACCCGCGGGGTTGATAGCAGCAAACCGTGGCCTTGCGTCTCCCGGAAGCACAACAGCTGCAACAGGGAGTTAAACGTTTTTAAGTAAATTGAAAGACATTGTGAAACGTTGGAGAAAACTGAAAGAGAGGAAACCTCCTCATCAATAAAGATCTTAACGTCTGCATTTTAACTCTGCACTCCTGCCGGCAAACATATTGTTCTCAATTCGTAAAGTACGTATTCCCTGTTCTGTCTTTTAAACACTGGCTCTTCAACGTTCTCCCTATTTCTGTGTAACCTTTGTAATCATCAAGGATGCTGGAGCCAGACTGCCTGGGTTAGAATCCTGGCTCTGCGGGTGCAGGGCAGGAGGCACAATTCTCTGTGCCTCAGTTTCTCCGTTTGTAAAATGGGGACAATAATAGCACTTAGATCTTAGGATTACTGTGAGGGGGAACTGAGCTAATAGGCACGGAGCACTTAGAAGGGTGCTAGATAAATAAACTGAACACTCAGTAGATGTTAATGATGTTCATCATCTTTGATGGTAATTACAGCTGCATGATATGTAGGTGCTATAATTCACTGAATCATCCCTAATTGCTGGACAGGTAGGTTATTTATCAGTCTTTTTCTTTGATAATACTGGGCTAAACGTCTTATTACATACAAGTACTTCCTTAAGCTAAATTCCCAAGATACCACTTTTGGGGCTCCTACTGCCTCTCGCTCTGAAGGGAGTTAGCTGTCGATGAGAACAGAGCTCAGTGGGAACACACCTGGGGGGCATTGCATGGAACAAAGCCTGCAGGGCTCGGCTGGGGGTGGGAGGCTCTGAAGAGCGCCCTTCTGGGTGTGCCTGCGTTTGTGCCTGTGTCTCTGGGGGTGGGGGAGGGGCAGAATGGGACCAAAAGTGAGCCTTGCTTCACTCAAGGGTAGGGTCTTCCAACAGGAGAAGGTTCTGCTGCAGTTGAGGGCGGCCTGAGGACCCGTCGCCTGGCTTCTGATGAGTAACGGGGGGGGGGGACCTGTCTCTTCAGCCCTCCACCTTTAGCCTCATCAAGGTGGACGATTTTCCTTTACCTGTGGTCTGCCTGGGGGCCCATCCGTTGGCCAGGATGGTGGTGCCATTGGGCTCCCTGAGGTTGGCTGCCTCCAGGCTGCTGTTGGCCCACCGGGAGACCTGCTCCACGAAGCAGGGGGCGAGTGGCATCCCCGTTTGCACGTAGAGGGTGCAGGTCAGCTCCAGCTTGGCGCCAGGGCTGGCGCTGGGTAGCGCGGCATAAACAGCTCGAAGCCACTCTCTGACCCTTGGGTCTGCAAAAAAGATGTTGGGATCGATCAAAATGGTGAATGTAAGAGAGGAGTTAGCCCCAGCTCTGTTTGCACGTTGCATGGGAATGGGACCCCAGAGGCTCCACTCTCATTTCCCACGGTTCATCCACCATAGACAGTCAAATGGGTAAAGTCATAGCTAAGTTGCTCAGGAATTAGCCTGGATCCACAGATTAAAAGTTGAGGGGGAAGAGGGCTTCCCTGTTGGCGCAGTGGTTGAGAGTCCGCCTACCGATGCAGGGGACATGGGTTCGTGCCCTGGTCTGGGAAGATCCCTCATGCCGTGGAGCGGCTGGGCCCGTGAGCCATGGCCGCTGAGCCTGCGCCTCCGGAGCCTGTGCTCTGCAACGGGAGAGGCCACAGCAGTGAGAGGCCCGCGTACCACAAAAAAAATAAATAAATAAATAAAAAAGTTGAGGGGGAAGAAACTAGATTTGAAAGAAATCAGCCTGGGATTAAGTCAAATAGAAAAACACTACCAACCTCTCAGAGACTATGCTTCCTAAACACCTTGAGTCAGAAATGTAGCCCAGTGCTACATTCCCTCATCCCCCTGAGCCCCAGCAGACAGCCCGTTATTATTCATGTCCGCGAGAACCTGCAAGAATGTTGAGGAAATAATAGGCATTTGAGAGAGTCGATGGTTTCCACCTTCCTGGCGGCAGCTGGGCTTCTGGTTATTCACGGCTTACACAGCAGATTGCTTCCTTCTCTCCATAGTCAACAGTAGATTTCTTTTTCGTGCTGTTGTTCACAACTGCGGGTCTCTCCCCCCAGCCCTGGGCATCTGGAGCTGGAGCTAGGCCTCTCGCCTGCTGCTGAGTCATGACACAGTTGAGTATCCTCCTGAGACGTGCAGGCTGGGCTTTTCCAGCAGTCAGGACCCCTTCCCAGGCAGGCTGCCTCTGGAACACGGCCCTTCCCTTGTCCTCCTGGCCTCCCCTTCGTCTTAGGCATGGCCCAGTGGCTGCCCACAAATCTCCCCCGTGACACCCAGGCTTTGCACCCTATTCCTGCCCCACCCTGCCCCTACTGGCTCTCCCAGGGCGCCAGGTAGAGTGACTCTCTGTCTTGGCTTGGGTGTCCGTCCACACCATGTCCCACACTTCATGTCACAGAGGCCAGGCCAAGAGGCAGCAGCAGACCCCCTACCCCTGAAGTGCCGGCCAGAGTCCTTCTGGGGACACAGAATATATGCCGACCAGGGTCCCCAGCCACCAGGCTGCAGAACGGGGTTGTGGGCAGATTCTACTCCACAGAACTGTCACTACCAAAGCTGCTTCCTAGAGTCGACAACTGTGCTGCTCCTCAAGTGCTTGCTTTTTCTTTTAATGAGAAAAGCCATGAATGAAAAAAAATTCCCATCAGATTTTCCTCTACTGAGGAAGGTCATAAGTACTTATGGAATCATGTCCCTGTAGAATGTAGACTGTCTGCAGGGGAGAACGGAGACATTTCTGTGGTCCTCAGTGTCACGTGACCTCAGGGGATGGTCACAGAGCTCTCTGTCCTCTCACCCTCTCTGGCCCAGAGGACCAGCTGTCCTTCTAGCCAGGCACTTCCAATTAGCAGAGTCAGGACGCTTGAGAAATCTTGTCTCCACCTGAGCCTGCTTTGTCCCTACCATTAGCACATTGGAAGTGCTTTTCTAGATGCTGCCGGAACGAACAGACAGCGTCAGAATAAAAGATACTGAAGGCTGACGGGGCTCACACTCTGTTAAACGCTCTGCGTGCATGATCATGCTTAACCCTTTCCACAGCCCTGTGAATTAAGTGCAATTATGATCCCATGTATAGATGAGGGAGCCGGGGCTCAGGCAAATTAATAAACTTGCTCAGTGTAACCCGGCGCCACCCCCCCGCTCCCACCCTCTGGTGAAGGACAGGTGGGCTGGGAACAGTCTGCTCCTCTGCTCGGGAGAGCCTCACGAAGCCTCCTGTTTTGCTGCGTTTCCTAGGTCTTGTCTGTAATGCGGCAAAAGGGACTGACGTGAGTGGTGACAAACGGCTCCCCCCTCCGCCCCAGCCCTTGAAACTGCTGCCTCAATTCCTGTCTCCTCCGCCTCCCCTCCTACAAAGCTGTCCTTCCTGCTGGAGGGGCTGGGTGGCTCTAACAGAACGGTGAGCGAGAAGGAGGGAAACCAGGGGGCTGCAGTAGATCAGGAATGTAGCGGGGAGGGTGGAGGGTCTGAAGGGAGGGTCCCTGGGATGGCGCAGAGTGGCAGGAAAGTGCTAGAAGAAATGGTATTTTCCTGAGTCCCGCTGCAGACCAGCCTTTTAACTCATTTGAGACACCAGCTTGGAAAGAGCCTTCCTTCTCAATACGTTAGCTGAACTGAACGTCTTGAATGGGACGCTGAATCCAGGGGCGGGGGGAGGGGTTCTGGATTGTAAGATTAATTATATAAAATTCTCAGTTGGCAATTTGTGATGCTGATTAAAGAGGGTTAAGTTTCGGATGATGTGCAAAGGGTTTGGTTGAGCTGAGAGAGTGATGAAGATGAGTCTGGTGAAAAATCAAGAAGGTAAGGTGCTTAGATACGTTTCTGCAACTCTCAGTGGTTGACAGTGGGGCTAAAGAGTTGAGGAAAGAACATAGGACTGGAGTCAGAAAACCTGGAACTGGAATCCACTTGCCTGTGGGGTGAGCTGAGTCTTACCAAATCATTAACCACTTGTCTCATTTGTAAAATGGGGACTTTAGGAGGCCTAGCGATTGCGTATGGTTTCTCTAAGGACCAAATGACATAATGACTGTAAAAGTGAGTCCATGTGCATCATCAAACAAGATTCTTTCCCAGGGGCCAGGCTACCTCCATCTCTGAGGCCTCTGTTCCCAGCGTCATTCTTGTGATGAATAGAAAGCTGTAAAGCATTCTTTATTAATTTACCTGGAAAAGCAATGGGAATTCCTCGAACTTGGACCATTGGGAAATCGTGTGTTTCATGCGGTGAAAACAAAGGTATTTTGGGGGGATATCACTGGTGCCTGTTCTGAAACTCGTGCTGTGCTTTAGCACCAGCAGGTGGGGATCCTGGCAAAGCTGCTGGTGGTCACCTATTGGCTGGATGTCAGTGAGAAGACAGGGCCCATGGGTCCCACTGTGAACTTGGATGGATCTCTGTTGATCAGACGGGAACAGTGCCCCAAGCCCCTGGACTGCACCCACTTGTAAGAGAAAGGCTGGGCCAGGGCAGTGGCAGGTTGTTTTTCAGTCAGCACGCAGCTGATTCTCTGAGCAATTTTGTGGCAAACAAAAATCCAGGGGTATTCTATTAACTAGAGCTCTGTAAGCAGCGCATTCCTGTTCATAATAATTAACCATGGCTCCATAAGATAATGAAGCCATTTATGAGTAAGAAAAAAAAAGGTGGGATTATGTTCCACAGAGTCTGACCATTAAGCAATTCTGGAAGTTTGGTAATTCTTGAATGGGCTCTATGGAAACCCTGTTAATCATCATATTTGGTTAACCAGGTACCATGGTTGTCCCTGTAAACAAAGAATTGACTGTCATCGGTTCTCTTTCTCTGCAGGGTAACTGCACTTGCATTTCTCACTTTCCCCGTAACCCTGACTTCTGGGAGAATCTGTTTCAAGGCTGAAATGCCCGCCCCTCTTTCATATTCCTATTTATTCTTCATAAGCTAACTCAGGTGTCATGTTTTCTGGGGAGGCTTCCTGATCTGCCGGTGGAATACATCATTCCCTCCCCTGTACTAACTTATTTCAAATGAGTACACTCACTGCCTTGTGTTAAATGTGTTTCTATGCGCATCGTTCCTATGAGACTGAGCTTTTGTGTTCAGCGGTTTCCTTACATACCTGGCTGCTAAATTCCTGGCGTAATACCAGCCCACGCGCAGGAGCTCAAAAGTACTTGATGGATTGTGTTGCACTGAATCTAATGTGGCTGTCCAAGAGTGACTCCATGGATACGTGCATTTCCGTGATATACTTGCTGAGGAAAATTCAGCTTGATAATTTATGTTTGTCTTCACTTATCCCCAGAGAGAAAACACATTTGTCTGTTGGCCAGCAGGCCCACAAGAATTGTTTTGGCAGAGGACAGGGTACGGATGGAGGGGGACAGGACGCACAGCTGGTGCCTTGTGGCCTGATGTTTGGGGGGCTCACCTTTACTTGCCAACTTAAGATTCCAACTCAAAGGAAGCTCTTGCCATGACTGTCTTGGTATTAGTTCCTGCGCTTTCTAAAAAGTATTAATTTATACAATTGTAGCTCCCATCCTTTTTTACTGGCATCTTATTCTAAGAGAGGAAAAAGCTGTGTGCACGAGTGTCTGTGTTTGTATGGAGTTGGGAGGTTGGGACCAAGGCCAGGCTTTGCCAGGCCCTGAGTGTGGGCCAGGCGTGGCTGACCTGGCATTCATGAGGCTCTTGCCGCCACTGACAGAGCTGTTCTGAAGCCCATAATCATAGAATTATGTTGGTAAGTATGGCCCTGCCTTGAAGTCTCAGATTTATGAAAGCAGGTTGGTCAACAGCGCGAGCTCTGAAGCCAGACAGCCTGGGCTTGAGTCCCAACTCTGCTGCTTCCTAGCTGTGTGACCTTGGGCAAGTTGCTTGTACTCTCTGTGCCTAACTAGGCTCATCTCTAAAATAGGTTTGATGAGATAATTACCTACCTCAATAGGGTTGTTGGGACAATGAATTAAATTATATTTGTAAAGTGCTTCAAGCACATCCTGACACCTAGTAAGCACTATGAAAGGGCTTGTGAAATGCAACTGAGAAATTGCCACCAAACCTAGAGTAGAGGGAACCTTAAACATCATCTGGAGTAACGATGCAGAGTTTGAGTGCCTTCTGCTGTGCACTTGCCCGTGGGCAACCTTGCCTGCCCCCTGGGGGCAGCCTGAACGGGAGGAGGGTAAGTGTGAGCAGGGCAGTGGGCGTGGGCAGCAGAGTACGGGGAGCAGCGGCCCGCTTACCGTGGACGGTGTACCCCAGGGCCTGGACCAGCTGCCTCCGGGTGTTCCCCTGGGCTCCGAACTGCAGGAGCTCCAGAGGGATGAAAGCACCGGCGGGGGAGAGGACCAGGTTGGTTCGGTTGCCGTCCGTGGCCACGATCCGGTAGAGGCGAAGCGCGAGCTCCGTCCTCAGCAACGTCAGGTCCTCAGGGAGGTCGCTGGCTCCTCCAGGGGGACAGGCATGAAGGAGGAAGAGAGCAAGCAGGACAGACCTCATGGTTCCTGCAGTGGAGGGAAGAGATGCAAGTGAGGCAAGAGCCGGTCCATCCTGCAGAGAAGCAGGCATCGGGTGCTGGGACAGGCTGAGGGTGCTGATCACTTAGCTGGCTTGTTACCCGCCCCTGTCCGCTCGCACCGGATGCTTCAGTGTATCCTGTTGTGTCCGCATTAGAAATACTGAGAAACCAAACTGTGAGTCGGAAGGCCTGGATTTTAGGCCTGCTCTGTCACTTACTACATGTGTGACCTTGGGTAAAGCTCTGGTCAGACCAGAAGCAAACCATTATGTTGGAAAATAAATGTAAGAAGTACATCCTACTCCGTTTTCTTGGTACTTAGCTAGCTTATAGGTGGGCCGTGTCTATCATTAATAATAATAGTAACAACAAAAATATACTATGTTAAAAAGGATTTAGTATATTTTCTCAGTTAATCATTGCAACAATCTTACAAGGTAGCTGTTATTATATTGTAAATATAGAGATGATGAGGTTTAGAGAGCTCAGTGGCTCATTTAAGAAAACATGAGGATAGAAAGAGGCCCATGACTCCAGTCCTGGTCTCCTATGGGTGGTACATGAAATATTGGGAATATAAATGCACCTTAAAATATCGAGCCATGAGCTAATTGTACCTAGGATATCAGAATTCTTGTGATGTGAATTATTCTCATAAAAAAGAACACTTTCACAGAGAGTAGAATGATACAAATATAACTCCTACTACAGAAATATACCCCTTCGAGGAAGAGAGTGCATTAGTTGGAAATTAATGCAAAGGAAAGAAGGTAAAGCAAAAAGTGTTTTCAGTGACTGTGCTACACAGACAGCCTGCAGCAATTTCTGCTAAGTTGTCTGACTTTGGTGTCAGACAGGATTGGTGTGAGGGAGGCCCAGTCCAAAGTCACTTGAGGATGAGAAATTTGCATGTAAAGCCACTGGACTCAAAGGTGTTTATTTCAGATAAAGGCCCCACATGGAAGAGTATCCTCTTTTTCTCAACTCTTCCATCCTGTAGGCAAGCACAAAGGCAGTCCCTGGATGACTTGGCATCTCAAGGGGAGGGACGTGCATGGACATGGGGGTCTTTCTGTGTGTGTGTTTGGAGGTCATTGTGAAATGACCAGTTCCCAGGACTCCTGAAGCTCCTATCACCTCCTGAAGGGACAGAGCAACCAGACCTTCATGCCCCTGGGCTCCCCATGACCACATCCCAGCCGCGGTTCACCGCAGATGAGCTGTTTACTCACGGACTCTTGTATGGGACTGTCAGAGTTTCCTTGCTTGTTTCTGTTCTCGTGGGTCTCCAGCGTTAACGTGCTCCCCTTTTAAAAAAGTGGAGCAGAATCTGCTTTGAATCACAAGACAGCATAGGGAGGAAGCTGGTAATTGCCGTCTCTGTCGGCGATGTCTCTACCACTCGGTCCAAATTCCTGGAGCCTGAGGTCCTGCAGAGAGCCAGGGGAAGGAGCACAGCCCGGCCAGCCAAGCCCAGATCGGAAACAGAGCAGGCCCTGGGGAGGGAGCCAGCCATACCCGTCAAGCCTTCTTAGGCTTGTGACCTGGTTGTACCAGCAAGGAACCCCTCATCTAGCCCTTTGTCACTTTGAGGAATTTCACTGATAACTCTGCCATTAGGGCTTTTGCTGGGTACCAGGTACCTAATGCTTCTCCCCTCCTCCTGTGAAGAAAACAATAAATCAGTCATTGGGCATGACTTGAAACTTTTAGCAAATGGCATTCTGCAAAAAAGAAAGAAAGAAAAAAAACCAATGCAAGATATAGCACAATCAGTTTGGAACAGGGTGACTTGCCTTATTTATTATTAATAAAAGTGAATGCACTTATTTATATGTAATATAATAAATATTATAAGTACTATTAACAATCTTGTTCTTTTCAGATACAACAGTTAATAAATCTGATGACTCAGTTTGAGAAAGAGACCATGTTGTCAATACACAAATGCACATTTTGGGAAAGAATAAGCAGATTCTATCCAAAGTCTGTCCTTGTGACCTATTCAGAATCTCATACATTTCAATTAAGGTCTTAGGCATTGTGTTAAGTACAAAATACACGGTAGGTTATATGTTGTTAATGATTAAAGAAAAGAAGAAGATTTGGGAGATTTAGTAATTTTCTCTCAGGCACCTGTTAGAGTTAATATTTGAAAAAGAATGAGGCTGTTTTTTATCTGAGGACTACTCACACCCTTGTCATCAGTGGGTAAAATTCACTTTAAAGTAAACTGTTGACACTCAAGCCCGGAATCGTTTATATGTCTTAGGATATTTACACCTCTAGAACTGTTTCACATGAAATTTCCCCAAACCTTTAATGTAGATATAGTGCATTCTTGCATGCTTTGAACTCTAAGTTGTAGTATGATGGGGGAATAAATATGTATAACTTATTCTACAGCATCCAGAGCTGGCATCCCATCCATCCATCCATCCATCCATCCAATAGCTCTTACCTGCCTACTAGGTTCCAAGGCACTGTGCCAGGTCTGGTGGATGTAGCAGTGAACCAGCAACCTGGGCTCAGCTCTCAGGGGACCTGCAGTCTTTTCCGTGAGTGCAGACTTTTGATGTTGATACTGACGGTTTTAAGAAAAAGAACCAACCATGAGGAGGACCATGGTAACTTGCAAGGGCTGTCTCCCAACGCTGTGAGTTCCCCGTGGTTGCAATTATTTGAGCAGAAGCTGATTCACTCTTTGCCAGTGGTGGAGTTGGGGAGATGCTTATGAAAAGGTTTCCCAAATTCAAAAAAGTCTAGCTGTGTGACTTCTGCTAGCATTCCTTCCTACCTGACACTAAGAATGTATCATTCTAAATTGCTTTTACATTCTCAAGAAAAAAATACTAGGGAAGTTAACATACAAAAAATATTTCCTGTGTAGGTTAAACATTTCAAAGTGTGAATGAAATGAAAGATGGGCAGCAATTTTTTGTGTGTGTGCTCAGCTGTGAACCTGGGTAAGTCTCTTTGTTCTCTGACCATTTAAGCAGCGGTTATCATGCTTGTTTCTGCCTTGCTGGGATATCGGTTACACTGCTCAGGGAGCCTCCATTCCTGAAGATATTTATCATAATTATAACAACAAAACTAGTGAACATTATTGGGTGCTTACTGTGTTCCAAGTACTCTGTTATATCCTTTCAATTCATAATTGCAATGAATCCTCACAAGAGTCCTATGCGGAATGTATTATTATCGCCATTTTGGAGAGGATGAAACAGGTTCAGAGAGCCCAAGGTACTTGCCCAAGTTCCCACAGTTAGTTAGAGGCCAAGCTGGGTTTGAACGTAGGGCCGCCTTGATGCCAAGGCTCATGTTCTTTGCCACAGTTCTGGTGGTGTCTTTCAGGAGACACGGGGCTCTTAAAATCCCTCATGGCTGTGGGATTCCAAGACATTTGGTGGAGAGCCCAGACTCTCCTGGCTCATAATGTGTGTCCACTCTGCCCACATTCACCAGGGATGCTATGGTGAATCTCCTGTAGACAGGCAGCTATGAGGTGCAGCACCTTTTTAACTATAGTTTTTAATTTTTCACAACCTGATTTTTTATAGGCATAAACTATAAGGCAAATCACTTTCAAACCCATCTACACTCCATCAGCATCCCACATTCCTGCCACTACTTGGTACTTCCCAGCTCTCTTATTTTTCCAGTGTAATAGGTGCAAAATTGTATCTCATTGAGTTAATTTGCATTTAGGTGATCACCAATGATTTTAAGCATGCCGTCGTATGCTTATTTTTGTGTTTCCTTTTCTGAAATTACCTATTCATATCCTTTACCATTTTTCTATATTGTAGTTGGGTTTTCTTCTTATTTTTGCAGTCCATATCTAGTATAAATCCCTTGTCAATTTTGGATATTACAAATATCTTCTCCTTTTCTGTCCATTATCTATTAACTATCTTCATGATGTCTTTTGTTAGAAAGAAATCCTTAATTTTGATGTATTCAAATCATCCTTTCCTATTGATTTGTAGGCCCCTTCTCTCATCTATTAAACCTCTGAGCTCTCTAGTCTATTCCATTGGTCCATTTATCTCTATCCAACTGTTTTCATTACTACGGCTTTGAAATGTATCTTATTATGTAATAGGGCAAGTTCCTCTTCCTTACCATTCCTTTTCAATGCTGATTCAGCTTCCTATAGACTTTTATTACTCCAACTCAATATTAAAGTAAGTTTATTAAATACTTCAAAAAATCCAGCTAAAATTTGATTATGATGGCACTGAATCTACAGATTATTCTGGAACGAATTAATGTCTTAATAATATTAAATCACCCCATCCAAGACTATAAAATGTCTTTCCATTTATTAAAATCATCTTTTTTCCATTTAAATTAATTTTATTGTATATTGGAGTTTAGTTGATTTACAATGTTGTGTTAGTTTCAGATGTATAGAAAAGTGATTTAGTTATACATATACATATATCCATTCTTTCTCAGATTTTTTTCTCATATAGGTTATTAGAGAATATTGAATAGATTTCCCTGTGCTATACAGTAGGTCCTTGTTGATTATCTATTTTATATACAGTAGTGTGTATTTGTTAATCCCAATCTCTTAATTTATCCCTTGCCCCTGCTTTCCCCTTCAATAACCATAAGTTTGTTTTCTATGTCTGTGAGTCTGTTTCTGTTTTGCAAATAAGTTCATTGGTATTATTTTTTTAGATTCCACATATGTGATACCTGTCTTTCTCTGTCTGACCTATTTCACTTAGTATGATAATCTCTAGGTCCGTCCATGTTGCTGCAAATGGCATTATTTCATTCTTTTTTATGGCTGAGTAGTATTCCATTGTATATATGTACCACAGCTTCTTTATCCCTTCCTCTGTTGATGGACATTTAGGTTGCTCCCATGTCTTGGCTATTGTACATAGTGCTGCAACAAACATTGGGGTGCATGTATCTTTTTGAATTATGGTTTTTCTCCAGATACATGCCCAGGAGTGGGATT